TGTTTTTGTATGGCTTATTATTGACTCTCTATTTTGCAGACGCATGACGTACACTATGGGCTGAAAAAATTGATGTGTCGATACCGCATAAAAATAAAGTAGTTTTAATCCAATTCCCTAAGGTATTAGCGGCAACAGGTCTAAAGAAATAAATAAGGACTCTTCATTAGCTGGATGTTGGTAGTTTTTTCCAGATATGGTCAAAGCAGGACAAACATTTTTGTCAGAAGACGTAAAAGGGGTTGTCTCTTGTTTCTTCCTGATTTTAATTTGATATACTCTTTTGAATTTTTAGTAATAATAAGGCTCAGTGTTTGGAGTCTTTGTGCCGTTACTAAAGCCAATAGGGTGGCCAACTTTTTAGAAATTTTTCCAAGGATAAATCCTTGTGAGATTCAAGATCACACAAAAATTTTAAATCGTGCACGCTAGGGAAGGGTTGCGCCATAATGGATGTGGGGTTCTGTTAATAGAGTTGTAGTTCAGTAATTCAGTTGTAAAATAATCAATTCTAATATTATTAAGGGTTTAAAAATTGGGAACCAAGGTTGTCCATTCCAATATGGGACTACTAAAACTCCTTTTGCTCTGTCAATTTTAATCTTTTACAACACCCTCGAAATAATTTCATTTCACGCCGAATGCGATCTAATCGTGCGATATTTTGCTGACTTCTAACTGTATCCGAATAACACTAAGTGAGAAGACGATTTATGATCTAAATATCAGACATCTCGGCTCAAAAGGTTTCCGAAAGCCATTAAGAAACAATGTTCCATAGAAATAAAATCACACAAAGAACATTTCCCCTACGGTATGTGTAATTTATCTTTGAATTTCCATTAATCGTATTAGGCAAATAAATTACACCCCACTAGAGTTTGATACATGGTCAAATCACTTAAACCCCTAAAAAAACTCTAAAAACTTGAACTGGAAAAAATGGCACCGGACAATCCTTAATGGAGGGAATTTGGGAATATTTTCTTAGAGACAAACTCTCCGGAAATTTTCCAATTGAGAATATTTTGAGGACGAAAATTTCGGGAACAACTTTAACTTATATGCTATTACTTAAACCCTGGTTATGATCGAATTAAATTATTGCCAGCTTGTTATTAATAAGTAATTTTTGTTACAGGTGAGTCTGATGTTAATTTCTCATAGATGGAATGAGTGAAGGGGGTAAGTTTTGTGTATTGTTATTGTTTTATTATTGTTGCTGTACGTATACAGATGGGGAGCATATTTTTACATCCATTACATATGCCCCACTATCTTTCTTTTTTTTTGATGCGATGAATTTATAATGCGCTATGGAAGTAGATGTTACCAAAGAAGTAACATTTAAGATACAAGTAAGAGGCAGAGTAATAATAATAAGATTGAAGTTAATGGCCATTTTCAATAATACAGCAATTTTTGAACGGTATTATGCACTAAATGCGAGAAGGTAGTAACTTCATTTCTCAAGTCAATAGGCTCTTAACGCATTGCCATAAGAAATACATTGAAAACCTCATACACTTAAGGGATGATGATGCAATTGCGAGATGCCTGCCAGAACGGTATTTTTTCATTGGCTGATAACAAAGCATTTTCTAGCTTTTTGGGGACCGGGTTAGTCGAATGGTTCGCTAGTTCTTAGACTAACCGTTTAAGCTACGAAAAATTGACATTTTCAATTTTTTGGTGTTATCTCAGTTATTCTAGATATGATTTTTGAAAAATTTCAAATGGGTTTTTTACTCACAAAAAGGGGCGACATTGAATCTACACTGTTGCTCTCACCTTTGCGAAGAGCCCAATGGTGAGCCACGCATTTGAACCACTCTGTACATGAAACATACCTAGAATTGTACGTGTCTTCATTTGAAAAAAAGTTGAAGATCGTAACTTATTTTTGGGGTATACATGAATTTACCGTAAAAGAACACATTAAAAATAAGAATTGAGGATCCCAAGCGTTTTTTTCACGGCTCGAATTAATAAATGTTATTGAATTTATACATTGTTTTTGGGACGCAGTGTATTGTTGTGTACACTACGTCATTCGGACGTTTTCTTTGCCATCGGCACTTTCAATAACGATGGGTCACCCTGTATGATGTGAGTTTCAATTTTTTCTCTAGCGTAAATGTGGACGATAATTTAGATTAAACATGAATTTCGACCATACCAAACGAATTTGAAGTAAATGTTGATTTTATTAATTTTTATTTATTAAAAGGTAGAGAGGGAAGGTGTAGAAAAAAGAGTCGGTAAATAGAAGACACGAACGTGGTACGTTGCTTTTTGCTGGGAGCTTTGATTAGTGTATGCCAGTTTGTCGTAATTGAGCTTGATTTAGGAGAGACAGTCCCTCGTTGTAGTCATAAAGTGCATATATGTAGAAGAAAGTCAGAGAGTGTTTAAAGACGGCGTTATAAAAGTGAACGTTATGATTCTAATTAATCCGAGTTGTGTCAGTCGTGCGGTTATCGCTTAAGTAAAACCTGTCTATAAGGTGTTCAAGTTACCCGTTAAAGTAAATGTTTCCACCACCAAAAAATCCACATCAACAGTTTAAAATAACATCACAGTCAGTGTCGTGGAAATCAAGAATAAAGCAAAAGTGAAGAAGTGAAGTTTGGTATTTGTGTTAGTTTGTACCCAGGAACTCTTTGCCATCGCACATAGCAGTAGGTGTATTTTCTTTGTAGGAGTCGACCTCAAAAATTAGAATTACATTTTAAATCGCTTGTGATTCATGCTTAAAAAATTATTTTGAAATAAGTAGAGGAGGGGTACGTCCGAGTAGACCTGGCTTTCCAAAAAAATATACCTATTTATTTACCTTTTTAAGATTGATTCTATACATTGCTTGCAAATGAAAGCTCTTAAATAGCTTGTAATTGATGCATAAAAATTAATTTGAAATATGTAAAGGAATAGAGAGAAGGGGTGCCCAAGTTATTTAGTATGGGCGAAATAACGTTTTTTCAGATAACTGCGTGGTAAGTGGACCTGGCCCCGTCCCTACGATGATTTTATTTTACTCTTTTAAGTGTGGCGCTAAAAAATTGCAAATACTTGTAAATGAAAGCTCTTAAATAGCTCGTAACTCCAGTACAAAATTTCTTCGTCCTTAGCTAGTGGAAAAATACCAGCAAATATTTTTTGGGGTTATTTCGATAAGTTCTGTAGTTTTTAGAGGTCACGGTGGTGGATGTGTAGATCATAATCTATTTGTTGGCTGCAATACGTTTTCCGTCCTTTCCATTTTGCAATGGCAGTCAATATAGTTCTTCTTATACATTGAGACACTTCCTGAAAATTGAATTCAATTTCCGGATGGACGCTTGCATGGCATACTCTTTAGCGCGACCGGTGATTGACTGACAAACTGAGTACTGTCATTTCATCTGTGAAAAGTAATTACATGCCATCACGACTCTTCTTCTCGTACTTTTATATCTTGATTGATTTTTTATATTTGGTCGCAACCTTCCCACAATAACATACTTCCTTTGTTAGCTTTGAATGCTATACTGCTGCTGCCAAATTTACAAGCTGACAAGAGGTCAAACTTGACGTATTCTTTTTCGTTATCTCACGTTACTGGTAGTGTAGTAATCTGGGGAGAAATTCCGCTGCAATTACAAATCTCGAAGCTGTTGGTGAAATTCCTGGAAATCAACTAACATGTTCGCGAGGCCAAATGTAACAGAATGCATTGTTGATCAGGAAATGTTCGCTCCGAGTACATTTAGTTTGATTTAAATGAAACTAAATCATTGGGGGAATACAGCAATGTTAATAATTTAATAACACGAGCATGTCCAGTCAAATAAGAAAAAATAAAAACATTAATCGGTAAAGATCTGAAATTTTGGTACACATGTTCATTAGTGTTCCCCATTGGACATACTAAAAGTCCCCGTCAAAATCTGTTGCGCTCGAGGCGCCATCCTGGAAAAAAGGAGCACTTCTTCAGATTCTTGCCTATATATCGGCAACAATTATTGATACGGAAAAATAGTTCAGATAAAAAATATAGTTTATTAAATTGCCCACAAAAAAGCATATTAACATTTTTTTGTATGTCCAATACTTTAGCTATAATCCGACATCGAATAGGAAATCAAGTATCCTGAGCTCTCGAAACAGTCGCGCAGATATTTTTTTACAACTTTTTACAAATCATTAAATTCATTGAAAATTCTACCAGTATTTCTTATATATGCGAAGTCGTCGCACTCAAGCTTGGTATGAGACAGCAGAGACACGTTTAAAGGTTTCTCATAAAACTCTCTCTCAATAGAACTTTCATCTTCAATGCGAGCACTGAGTGTGGACTGGGAGCCTTCAGTGCAGTCCGAACAGGGTCAAGGTAATTCTGAAGGTCTCATAACGATGTCGGTTTTAATATCTCTCACTAGCAGGCACGTTATACTTATGCAGATAAGGGCGTTCTTCAGCTTCAGAAATCATTTCGTTGCTCCAACACTTTTACACATTTTCGCTTACCTTTTTGAAAAAAACATGATGTATCATCAAACATTACGTCATTGCTAGAATGCTTTATCCTACGACGATTCTGTTCATTTTTTGGCTCTGTTACAGCTATCGGTGTAGTCATAAAAAAGACGGCCTCCTTCTATAATTACGATACGGGGCCTAAACGCGTTCTGACGTATTCAACGTGAGATTACAGCTAAAGTACTGGAGATCCAAAAAAATGCAAATACTCTTTTTTATAGGGAATTTAGTAAACTATATTTTTCATGTAAACTATTTCTTCGTGTGAGTAATAATTGCCGAGACATGGGCGAAAACTAGAAAAGTGTACCCTTTTTCCAAGATGGCATCTCGAGCGCAACAGATTTTGACAGGGACTTTTAGTATGTTCATTAGAAAGTCCCAATAAATGTGTATACCAAAATTCAGATCTTTACCAATTAATGTTTTTATTTGTCCAAAATTGCGCTAATTTGACTGGACTAAAGGAAAAAACTCGAGAAAGGTAATGCGTAATGCAGAAATAAAAAGTCTCAAGAAAGTATGAGTCAAACATTTTTTAATAATTAGCAATTATTCAGTTGTGAATCATTTTCGTCGCTAAAATGAGAAATATACGATGTAATCGACTCGGCTGGGGATGGAGCTGGACCAGGAGTCACAAATCTTCTTGGCTCGTACTGTTGTGATTCAGATTGTACTTGATTTGAAGTATGTAAAGATGAATGCAATTGGCGTTGGACGTACATTTGTGTCTGGTGTATCGGTTCAAAGGAGTGTGGTTGTTGTTGCGAATGCTGTTGATGCTGGGGAGTATATTGCTGATGACCTCCATATGAGTGAGTTGTAGGTGGATATGCTAATGGTTGTTGATGTTGTTGGGCCATAGTTTCGTACTTGTTAATGCAATGCATAATTTCAAGTCTGCAACTTGTATTTAAATGTCGTGGTAATGATACAAGACTTCCCACCAAAGACAACAAAAAGTGCCGATTATCATTGTCTTCAACCTTTTCTTTCGCTTTGTCCATTTTTGCTCTTTTCTCATACCTATCTAACGAAAGTAAAATCTTTTCTTCAACAGGGTGTAGTCTTTTTTTGCCCACATGTGTACGTGCAACGTTTGGTGTAGAAGCACGGCTGGAGGAAACAGATGGAGATTCCTGGACATCATCGTCTTCTTCGTCGTCTTCATCTTTCTCTTCTTGACGTTCTTCTTGAACTTCTGTGGATTGGGTACTACTATGTTCTATCGAAGTGATTGTTCTTTTTGGTGTCACAGTGTCCCTCAAAAATTCAAGTTGCCGTCCATACATGTAGGGAGCTTTTTTACGAGCTCCGTCTCCACTTTTACCTTTGCGGTCTTGAATGTCTCTTGTAAACCGATCTCTTATGTTTTTCCATTTTTTATGCAATATGTCTCCTGTAAATAAAAACAGCTATATTGGGTTATTTATGTATGCAGCAACTATGTGAGTATACATAGGTATAACATTAGTTATTTATTTTAGATATCTGGCTACCGGGTGCTCGCTAACTGAAATACACTATTCATTTCGAATAGGAAGGTCGACTGCCAGTTGTATTATTAAAGACGTTTGTGAAGCAATATGGTTTTCTCTTGCGAAAGCTACTATACCTCCACTAACTATTCAGAAGGTCTTGGACATAGCAGCAGGGTTCGAAAAGTATGCAAAATTCCCTAATGTCATTGGTGCTATCGATGGAAAGCATATCCGAACTAAAAAGCCACCTAATAGCGGTTCCATGTATTTTAATTATAAGGGCTACTTTTCTACAGTGTTATTTGCCATGTGCGATGCCAATTACTGCTTTACTTATGTAGAAGTGGGCTCATACGGCAAATCGAGCGATGCTGGAATATTCAAAAATTCCATACTTTTTGATAAGTTATGTGATAATTCGTTAGAAATTCCGCCACCGCGTGTTTTGAAAAATTCAACTGAGAAGTTTCCGTATGTTATTTTGGGCGACGAAGCTTTTCCATTGTCCGAAAACTTGCTGAGACCGTACGGCGGAACACATTTAGCAGAATATAAACAAACTTTCAATAATCGATTATCCCTTGCCCGACGATACATTGAATGCACATTTGGAATTTTAGCGAACAAGTGGCGAATATTTCATCGACCCTTGGATGTTGACGTCGATTTTGCTGATAGTATTATCAAATCTGCCTGTGTACTACATAATTTTGTAAGAACAAGGGATGGAGCGCGTGAAGAATCATCTCGTGATAGAAATATTTCACAAAATCATAGTATGGAAAGATTGCAACCTCATACACGCACTAGAGGAAATCCCAGGGCACTTACAGTCAGAGATAAATATGCACACTATTTTGCCAATAATTGACTATTAATATTATGTTCGTCTTGTTCCTGTATCTAATAATAAACAAATTTACTTACCTAATTTTTTTTTATCATCCAAAGTCAGCTCACTACCAAAACCAAAAAGCTCTGTAATTTCTTCCCAGCATTGTTTTCTTTTGATTCTATCACTGTAGTCGGTTTGGGTCATATCCCATAATGCTGGACGATCATGTACTTCGTCTATCAATTTCTCAATATCAAGATTCTTCTCTATAAGCTGCAACGCTTGTTTCGAAGCCATTTCTAACTTGATACTGCAAAATCTGTACGCTGTTTGTGAAAAACGCGGACGAAAACCGATGTGTGTGTCAGTACCTATATAAACCCATGTAAATAAGCGCCGCTCCGGCAATAAAACGCCACGCGTTTCTTGGTGTAGACTACGTGCCGAGACGGTCTAGCAACGACCGCCGCCGTGTGTGTTTTGCATGATTTGAAAATATAAACATAAGTGCCGACTCGTCGGCCGAGTCGGCCGACGAGTCGGCATAAACCGCTATGTGTGTCATTACTCTTAAGCTGTCATCTTCTTTTCTTTCTTTTGTGGTTAGGTTTATGTTTTCGTGGTTAGGTGGAAGATCAGCAAGTGGAGCTGTCTCCCAATGCCGAACTTCGCCACTAGGTTTTTTTACTTTAATTAAAATTTTATTTTACATTTATATCTTATTTTAATTTATATATTTACGCAAGGTAATGAAATAAAGGCATTTATTATTATTATGTGTGGTCGTTGAATAAACTTTATTATTGCAATATCATGCAAGTCGTGTGTTCGTCGAATCCCTTTAACGACGACGAGAGATGTCCCACGTTTAATTAAGTTTAACTTTGTTTATCCACACCCAAAGTTCAGTTCAAGTGCTTTCAAATTTTGGTAAATCATCTTTTTAGAATTTCAGAAGTTTGATTTTGAAGAAGTGTTATCTTTGGCCTGAAGTTAAAGAGTCACAGCATTTTTTATTGCTCGCCCAACGTGGGCACTGCATCCATTTTTTGTGTATGGTCCTTTTTAGCCGGGCCAATTCACACAGCCATATTTATATTTTTATCGATGAGTTTGCGTTTTCATATGTAGTATATCTTCTATATGAAAGTAAAACTTTACCAGTTTAGCCAATGCTTTAGAACACGTACTATCCTCTCAAAAGAAAGACATTAATAACCCCTACACATTTGGACGTACTATGCGCGGACAGAACAAGTCAAAATTTTATTCCAAAAAACAAAAAAGTTTCGCTGGAAAAAGTTAACCCCCGGTCCCGTCACCCGCCCACCTACACACTGTTGGAGTCTGCTGTGGAGCTGCCTCTTAAAATTATGGCGCTAGCTGCCGTTAGGTCTGACAAAACTGTCTCTTGCTGAGACAATGATTATACTAGCGTTAAAATTGTTTCACATCAATGAAAAAAATGTCAAACCTTCGCCAATCGATACCTACGAGTTCAAGGATCAGTGCTATTGAATATGAGCCGGATCAAAGGTCTGGTTTTCGAATACGAGCGGAATGGCAAAAATTCCCCTACTGAAAATCGTATTATCTTGTTAATGCTTATTTTTCTTCTTTGACGTGTTTGAAATGGTGGATAACTTTTTTATGTATTTCCATTTATACAATAAACGGTGTCCGTAAGTTACTTATACGCCAAATAGTTGCCTTTTAGAAAAATTGGGGAAAAGTGGATATATAAACATTTTCACAGAGGAAAAAGTCGCACAAGTAGTTTACTTTAAATGATCGAAACCTTGTGACTTGTTAGAAATCTAAAGACACGTACATTTAGGGATTCGTAGGTCCTTTACTTTAGGAAGATAAACATGTACAAGGAATGTTATGTAAGTTATGTGCGAATAAACGTAGTCAATTAAATTACATTTTCATTATCATAACAACTGTTGAGTCAATGTTACGTTTAAAACTCTTATTTATTCTTGTAGTGACCAAGGGTTGTATCCAACATGTAAACATACATATTGATTGCAGCATGAATACACTAAATAAAGTTAAGAGTACACACGAAACGATAGTTGTAGGTATCACAAATAAAACGAAAAGTCCGTATGACAACATTCTTATTATTCAAGGGTTGTTTCTACACAAATCGATACTCAGCCACATGTAAGGGGATATTGGAAATATTTATGGATGCCACGCTTAAAGCTTAGGTAATTATCCAAATTGTAACTCAATACTCCGTTCAATTAGTCTTACATTGAAGCATTGATAGTATATAATCAATGATTGAAGTTTATTATATGGCGCCAATAGGGCGACAGTAACACGTAAGACCTTTACTAACCTATCTTTACGAGAAAGTGTACAGTTATAATTGAATTAGGTATATAATGCACGGGTATCTTTGGAAGGGATATTAGTAGGTAAACCCCTACACGATATCTACCGGAAATGCCCTTGACCGCTCGGTTATACAAGATAGCGATACCTTTTTAATGATTTATACCCACGTACTTATGGAAGTAGGTAAGTAATATGTCACAAAATATATAATCTCCTAACGCGGATTTTGTGGGGGAAGAATGCGTACTCCCTAATAATAATTGGAATATTGTTTTCATGCAATGACCTTTCAAGGGAAACCAAGATAATGTTGCAGATTTAGTTGAACCCACTCTAAAGAATCAGACGTTGAAGTAATCGAAAATTTGTCGAAACGTATAGGTGTGTCGTTTGAAGCAGAATTTGCATGTTACAACGAGCGACTTTGCATAAGATTAGTATTCGACAGATTTTATTGCTGTAGACGTCTTGGATGCCTTTTCGTAATGATCAAATCTGTCTGTGGCATAATCTACACCTCATTTATATTCTTAAAGTCTTCCCTTAAAAAATAACTCAAGCGAAACTGAATCATTGATTAATGGTTACGATGTTTACTGCACATCACACCTTGCATAGTACCTACCTAAAATTATTGTGCTGCGTTTGTTTGGAGACCTGTGTTTACCGCTCGCTTAATTTAAATTCTATATAGATACGAGATAGAATGGTCTCCAAGAAGGCCCTTCAGCTTTGGAACTGTGGTGTTGATAATCTGGATAGCTTCTGCTTGTTTGATCAGTGAATGCTTTTACAAAATGTGTGATTTCCATTCTAATATATAAGGACTACTGATTTATAACTGGTACCTATAGTCAATTATACTCTGCAGTAGCGTACGCAGGATTTTTTTTCGGGAGGGACTGAAACTCGAGAATTAAGACCAAAGTATGTAAATTTTCACGTATGTCGTACACATTCGCAAGATCAAGTAAGCGAAGGAAAAAGTAAGGTAGTTTTTCCAGCACTGCAACATTTTTATTGTCGCTTGGCATTTAAATAATTATACCATGACTGACGACTTACGGGATGTGCCGCTGAGTAGTTAAGTCGATTATTTCGAGGGGGGGGGGGGCTGTAGCGTACGCCGGTGGTACTCTGTGATAAATTTATTTGACTGTTGTTTGTATGTATGTATGTTTTGTGACATATTTGACGATATTTATTAAGATACTACTGGACAATGTCTATGTCAATGTTTTTGTTGATCACAGACAATAAATTATTATTATTATAAAAATACTATCTTTATTTTGACTTTAGTTTGACTGAGGGTGATTTGGAATGCTTTGACAAAAATTATTGAATTAATACTGACATCTATTAGTGAAGAACTAAACTAACAGCTAACAGCGTGTTTTACTGAGCAAGAATAGTAGATTATTTCAACCTCCTTTAGTTGTAAAAGCAGCGCCTCATTTTTACAGTTTAAGGGAGACTGCGCAAAGGCGGCTAGGTAGCGGAACATACAGGGATTATTCAGAAGACTCTCTTAACAGGCTTTAGGTAGGACTTCTTGTGAAGCCAGTCGGCGATATGGTACACCGATGGGCACCTTAAGCAGAACAATTAAGAGAACCTCTGAAGAATTGGAAACTAGTAGTGACTAGTAGCTGCAGATTGGAGTTATCCATTCGAGCGTCAAGACATTCAAGATTTTTTGAAGAATTTCTTGGACCGCAGTGGGGAAAGGGTAAGAGTATTTTATTATAATAAACCTGGATGTGACTGGTTGCGGCTGTTTTTGAATGGGCATAAAAATCAATTAAAAGATGCTGCAGATCAGCGGGAACTAAGCTCCAGTGGCGGTTCTGATGATTCCATGGGTAAAAGAACCATTGCTGTTTCATATATTATGCCAGATGAAGAAGCTGACAATTTAGATGAAAGTGAAGAACCACTTAATGATCGATTTTCATGAAGATTATTTTATTTTGACCAAATTTACATGTTGGACATGTGTTAGAAAGAGATCAACAAAACATTCGATGCAAGTTCCTGAGACCAAGTCTTAAAGTGCCAGATGGCTTCAATTTTCCTATATTTCGGATATTACTTCTAAATAGGTTATTAAAAAACTCAAGAGTTTGATCAGCAAGGAGAAACATTTGTGTAATTTATTATTCAAAAACCGCAATAATACACATTTTGGAGATTTGGGCGCGTAGTTCCCAAGTGATACGGAGCTACATGATGTGGGGCCGGCGACATCTGAGCGCTATTCCCGAGGGTGTTATACTAATGTGGTGATTTTTCGGTTTTTTCCTATCTTGATCTACAGTTTTGGTCCGATTGTTTCCAAATTGGTGTCGTCGGAAAGATCTTGTCAACGGGCAGAACTCCTGCGTGACGGAATTTGTGTTTTTTTCCTATGCGCGAAATTAACCACCTCTTACAAGTTTGCAATTCGGTTTATAAATGGTCGAGATGCGAAAAGGGCACTGTGAATTTTGAATCGATTCGATTCAACTTTTGGCATTGCGTATTGTATGGCTAAAGCTATGCCCATATTGAATTTCATGCAATTCAGTTCATAACTAACGGAGATGTAAAAGCGATCGAACATTTCTAAACAAAGTTATCGCTCACACGGACAGATAGATGGACAGACAGACAAAGGAACAGACGGAGAGACCAACCGGCAGGCGACAGATAGCAATGCAAAATTATAAACGATCTCCAGGATCGTTAATAATCGGCAAAAGTGTAAAATTATGGAACATGTAAAAAACGGTTTTTTGTTTTTTTTACAATAACTTTTTTTGTAAGCGGTACAGAAAAAATTCCTTCCTTGGTAACAAGACTCGACACCATAACGAACCAAATAGCGAAAAAAGTAGAACAATAGCTCTTAAGATAAAAAACTAGTAGCGTCTCAAAACGAGCGGACGGACGGACGGACGGACAAAGTGGCCACAATAGCGCATTTTTTTTTATTGTGGAAATGCGCTAAAAAGGAAATGTAGTAATCGTAAACCGCATATGCGCCACTTAGTTTTTAGTAAATGTCAAAAGAAGGGAGAATACTTGCCTAAAGGGGGCAACAAGGTAGACTAAGAGATCCTTATTCTGGTCTTACTAAGCTAAAGGAATGAAATACTTGAGAGGGGTAGCGCCAAGAAACGTAGCCTGTTCTGCCTCTGCCATGGAAACTAAAA